TGACACAATGTTGACAGAATGTACTATATACATTGCACCAATATGGTGACACAATGTTGACAGAATGTACTATATACAATGTACCAATATGTTGGACAATGTTGACAGAATGTACTATATACATTGCACCGATATGTTGGCACAATGTTGACAGAATGAACTATATACACTGCACCAATATGGTGACACAATGTTGATGGAATGTACTATATACATTGTACCAATATGGTCACACAATGTTGACAGAATGTTCTATATACATTGCACCAATATGGTGACACAATGCTGATGGAATGTACTATATACATTGTACCAATATGTTGAGACAATGTTGACAGAATGTACTACATACAATGCACCAATATGTTGAGACAATGTTGATGGAATGTACCATATACATTGTACCAATATGGTGACACAATGTTGACAGAATGTTCTATATACATTGCAACAATATGGTGACACAATGTTGACAGAATGTACTATATACATTGCACCAATATGGTGAGACAATGTTGACAGAATGTACTATATACAATGCACCAATATGGTGACACAATGTTGACAGAATGTACTATATACTCGAGCCGTGGCAAGATGACTTGGATTACGCAACGTATTGTATCCAAATTCGATGGATTATGGTGTCAATATCAGTGTTATCTCTCGTCCACACTCGATTATTTATAGGTCACTGTCCCACAGCCTGAATATTTCCTGGAGGTTTCTTTATACAATAAACACAATAATCTTGATATAAACATCCCTTAACTTGAATAGTGTGCAATAGCTACAAGAATCATAATACAGTGATCCTGTCATGCTTTTAACCGCAAGCTGATGTACAATTCCTGACTAAGACAAGCATTCAGAGAAGAGAAAAACTTACCTGTTCCTTCCCACGTACGCGTAGACACGATATCTCTGTATATGTATGGCAGGTGTCACTGACCTATTCATAGGTGATCTTAAAATGGGGTGCACAGGCACGTCAAGAACCCTTTCTCACCCCTTCGCTCCCAACTTACACGTTAGACACGTAATTTAACGGTGAGGGATCCATTCCAGCGTTCTAGGGTTCACCAATGGCTTTGACATTGATAAATATATAATATACTCTTAAAACAAATAAACTTGACATGCTGTTTTAGAGTTTACTTCACTGAGTGCATATAACTGATTTTAAAACATGACATCATTGCTCAGTTACAGTAAAATCATCACTTACATATGAGCATGCTTAGCAGCGGTGACCCATAGAAGAAAGGAGATGCCGAATGCCGTCTTGAGGAACGCCTTTGATACACTTGCCGAAGTGCTGGTGCAGTTCTGGTTGTGTCTGCGGTGGCGGATTACGCTGGCGCAATCGTGGATCACAAGTTCCCCACAGGTGTTCAATGGGGACAAATCCGGTGATCGAGAAGGCCAAGGTAACAACTGAACATTGTTTAGCTTGAGGAAGACCCACAAACACGTGCAACGAGGTCGAGCACCGTCATGCTGCCACATCATGCTGCGATGTCCGTGTTTTGCAAACGGCCGATGGCGTTGTGTCGTTGGAGCTTCTGTCAGTCTTTTTCATTCTCTTGTCGTCAATAGTGGCCCAAAGCAATGCATGTAGAGTACCATTGATGTGGCATTTTAAAGCCTTACAGGCATAGGCTTCAGCCTCAGGGTGATACACAATTTCATGATGCTCGTGCATTTCATGTAGGAGCGTTTTAGCGACTCACTACTACATACGTGAGTGTAACGTTACGTTTTTGTAAAACGTTTCTTTTTCAAATGTTTTGTGGTCGGCAATCATTCCCCCACATGCTGGGCTTCAGCATGGATTGGTTTGTGTCAAATATTTTCCTAAAATTCAAATTTGTCCTATGTCAAGTTTCTCTTTTGGAGAGTATATATAAATACTATGTGTTTCTACGATTAAAATGCCATAGTACATGTGAATCGCTTCCCGTTGAGTGGTGTGTCATTGAGGGTTATTGCTGGGAGATGACTGATGGGAAGATTGCAGAAGGGGAACGTCGTCGTGAGTTTGGAATAATGGCGTTTGCCGTTCGTGTGCACATACTATAACATGCAGATGCACATCAAACTATAAAATTATTTCGTGTACATTCCACACGCCATTAAATGAAAAATACAATGACAATAACAAGCCCACATATTCTGATAGCTTAAAATCGTAAGCTACAGATTGTAACTATATCCAAAAAGTCACATGTTTAGTTATAAATTGCCAGGCAAAAGAACGTACTCAAGCATTTTCGATGGTGATTAAAAAATAAAATAACGAGAAATTGTTATTTGATGATGACATACTTGATAGGGTATCAGAGTTGTTTTAGACCTTACGTTTGCTGTGTTTTGGCGACCGTTTGTAGTCCACAACTGTGATATTCCCTGAAAAATACGTCATAAATCTCGGTATCACACCAGCTTCATGTTTGTAAAGTTATGTTTACGGAATTTCTTTCATTCAGACAATAGGCAAATGCTCCTTTTGCACCATTGTCAAACATTCTGGTTAAAAGAATATACTTAGAATGAAAGTATCAACAGATGATGAAATCTGATTGGAATCTTTGACCACTGTTTAATCAACTGTCATGGTATCTGGAAAGACGTGCATACGAATCTGTGATGACAAAGTATGCGCTAGGCACACAGGCTGTGAGTGCACCAACCTACTGGACTATCAGAGGAGCTGAAAATGTATTCATACAGTTAGTGTAACGGTCTGTCGTTGACTCAAATTTTTATCCCATGATTATAGATCGCAACACAGCTTGGTGTCCAATAGTTTTATTTAAGGAGACCTGTCCTGGTCTCTGTAAAACATTGAGGATTTAAAAATAATTCGCAAATTGTGTCAATTTTAGACTACAATCGCAAGGGAGAATCACACATATCCTGAGGACACGAAACTGGCACCGCACCGTATCGCATCCAATATGCCATGTACTTCACTTCAGCGAACAATTTACCTACCTACATTTACAGTTAGTTTTGATGAAATACCACTGACTGGCTGTTATTCTGACAAAATGTGTTAAATGTACTACAACTGTGTTAAATGTACGCACGATGGTACCACACAGCACCTGTGTGCAGCCTGCTTTTACTAAATCATGGTTATGGTACACTTGTACGTTTTAAGTGAAGCTGATCAGTGTTCCCTCTTCGTATTGCATACGTTGATATGAACTGCTGTATTGGTAACAGACATATACGGTTGCTACTGCAACGTTTGTGGAGGTTTGTGTATTCATTAGTTATTGTTGTATTTGGCATATATAAATAAAGTAAGCCACATCGTGAGAAACTTCTTTGTCCGTTACACATTATGTCAAGGGAAGAAAATCAAATCAAATGAACAGACAATCAAGAATTAGTTTACTATATCGAAGACAGATATCGAAACACACCCTGAAAACACATCGCCTGCAACTAGGGGCAGACCGTAGGACACAATTAAAACAGAACTATAAGATGTGACATAACTGAGACACGCTTTTAGCACTTGCTGAACATGCTGGAATAACGATGACTGCCACACATAAAAGTGAGTGAGTAAGTGAGTTTACTCTTGCGCCGCACTCAACAATATTCCAGCTATATATCGACGGTCTGTAAATAATTGTGTCTGGTCCAGACAATCTAGGTGATCAAGAGAGGATCGATCTACGCAATTGAGATTCCCGTTAGTCCCATGTGTGTGTGTGTGTGTGTGTGTGTGTGTGTGTGTGTGTGCCTTTGGTGTCCAATGTTCATTCGTGGTTGTGACGCATGTTACATCTCCCAAAGAATATATCATGTTAAATAGTCATGTTATACTTCCCTTCAACGTCTAATAGGGAGATCATAGGCACAACATGATTGTATCTCTGTGATATGCGGCACTGGAAGGAACTTACGTATTAAATCACTGATTAATCTTGTCTCTCAACAGCCGTCCTAGTATTGACTTTCACATTGTTGCGACGAAGGTTGCCAACACTTTAAGACTCACAAAGCAACCTACCTTCGGTTGTTGGCAATCTATAGTCTTTTTATATTGTATTGTTCACTTTAATAATATCGTTTTATGACAACATTCTAGTTTTACTTTGACATCTGTGATACACTGGTAGTTTTACTATTCTTCATCAATATGGCCGATGTGATGATAAATATTAACTCACTCACTTTTACGTACAGCGGTGATCATGATGTCAGACACGTGGTTGTCTGGTCCACTTTCTCTTAATATACAGACTGCGGCCATACAGCTTGAATTCTTGTGTTGGTGTACAACATCTATGTAAAAGATAATTCGAACTTTTTTTCTTGACTAAAATATTACTATACCTTTGTTAAGAGTTAACGCCACACCCATATTTTGTGTATTTTCTACACCTTCTTCATCAAAGCATATGCTGTATAAAAGTCATTCTTAAACAGTTCAGGATTCATTGTTGCAATTTCCATGACGACATTGGCGTACAAATCATCGACAATTTGTTTCTTTTCTTTCAGTGATCGAGTGTCTGAGAGACCTGCCATGAAGCTGTGGTTGCTCCAGTTCCGGTGGGCCGACACCATCATTTCGGCAAACTCCTCCCTGTCATCAATTCCCTCCTCGTCTTTCTTCTGTTTCCATGAAGAATAGTAAATGTTTTTGTTTAAAATTATTTCGGATGACAAAAGACGCAGTCCTGATGCTGTGATCTGGGAATTCTCTGCTTCGAATGGCTCTCGCATTTGCAGAAGATTCCTCAAACAAAACGAGATATTTGTTTTAATAAATTCTTGTCTTGTGATTTTGCCAGAGACTGTGAATGATTTCCATACTTCTGTCATCTGAGTCACTAATCTTTCTGCAGAAAACCTTACTTGACAAGTCTTTTGATCCATATAAGCAGCAGGCGCACCAACAAAAAGTACCCCACCTTTTTTCAGTTCCTTACTCCTCATCAGCAGGAATTTCTCCCAGTCCATTTGGGCCTGTTTCCTCAAAGCTCCCTTTCTTCCTCAAGGCTGTCGTTACAAACGTAGATGGAGTCCCTATAAACTGTGGGCGGTTGAGACAGCCAGTGTACGGACATCATGCACATGATGAAATGCATGGAATTAGAAGGTACACATTGTTTGTAGAAGTCTGTTCCACAAGCAAAAGCATACACGTTGTCCATCGACAAGAGGTAGGATGGCGGCTCGGGAATAATTCCTGTCAAGCGTCGGAAGAGTGAGTTGAAATCATTTCTACCTTGATCTTCATGAATAACCTGAAACTGGGTATCAGGGCCGTGTCGTTCTTTAAGGAATTCTAATAGTCTCCCAAGAAAGACCATGGAACTACCACCGTCTGCTGTGCCATAATCTCCTATGCTGAACACTGAACCTTTTGGAAAAGGAATGGAAACGGCTAATTTGAAAACTTTAGAGTGTATTGGCTCTATATATCCAGCATGTAGGTTTCCAAGAGTGGCTCCATAGCTTCCAGATCCACTTTCTCCATAAGGAACAAACATGGCTGCTTTTGGCATTGTTGGAGAATATCTTGCAGACGTTGATACATTGACAGTTGAACTGAGTAATCCTGAAGACATGTCTGATGGTTGAACTGAGTGACTCACACTCTTGATTGTTCTGTTGTGTTAGTTTTCCGTAAGCTGAAATGAAGAAATGTGAGATAGGACGAGTATCACAATCGCTTCAAGAGTAACCAGTCGCTGCAATGTTTTATATTTGGGGACAGAAATAACAGCTGATAAAGATACACTTCACAAGCTACAATCATACGCCTGTCCGTGTCCTGTCGTTTACCTGGCTCGAGCGTCTTGTCTGTCGTTATGACATGACATGAAATATGTACTTATATTTACAAAATTGATACATCAATGAAGATTAAGATTAAGATTGGTCTAAAGGGGCAGGGCATGTCGTAAAAGGTCATTGACTGAGGCTAGATGAGTTGGGTTACGCATGTCGCCGTATCTCAGTTGCACAGATCAATGCTTATGGTTATCATTCACAGGTTGCTGTCATACAGCAAAAACATTGTAACTTGCTCCTTTAAACAAGAAACAAGCCATACTTGAACAATCACAGTCATGTTTAACTTGGATGGTGTACACATGTTTAATAGTGTAAAAATGGAGAGGTCTGAATGACAAGCATTCAAATCAGAAAAACTAACCTGTTCCTCTGCAGGTACGTGTAGACTATACATCTAGGCATATATGTCGAGCAGGTGTATCGGACTATGTATTTGCGATCATGAAATGTTATGCACTCTCACGTCCGGAACCCTTACACAATGAACATATACCATGTATAAAACGATTAGGAATGCTGTAGTATATCATATCGTTTGACTGAGATTGCTAACTGGGAGAGGACTGATGGGAGTCAGTAAGTGAGTGAGTGAGTAAATGTAACGCACATTCACGTCCAGAGCCCTTGCACAATGGACACATACTTCTTATTTGTATGGTTCCATACCTACTTTTAAGGTTCACCAATGACTTTGGCATGGATAGATAAAGATTGAAAGATTAAGAATGCTTTAGTGTATTATGTCGTTTCGTTGAGAACTGTGTAACTAAGAGATTGCTAACTGGGAGATGACTAATGTAAACATTGCCAAAGAAGACCATCGTTATGAATAAGGCCATGCCCATGTGATATTTCTGATAGTTTGTGGGAAATACATAAAAAAACAAATACTTAATTATGGTTTCAATGTTACACAAAGGCAAAGGACGTTTACATATATATATATATATATATATATATATATATATATATAGAGAGAGAGAGAGAGAGAGAGAGAGAGAGAGAGAGAGAGAGAGAGAGAGAGAGAGAGAGAGAGAGAGAGAGAGAGAGAGAGAGAGAGAGAGAGAGAGAACATGGCCTGTATGTGATGAGATATTAGAGATTATATGTAACCTGGGAGCGCTGTTCAATCAATATCTAGCGTACCCTAGATTGGACACAACGTCGTATACCTCCGCCAGTCGTCGTATCCGTTGCAGAGGAAAATGTCGCCATTTCTGGTGCAAAGCTGCTTCAAACTCAGGTAGATTTTGAACAGGTGATACAGGTGTTTCTATCTGTCGTCCTATAAAGTCCTAAATGTGCTCCGGGAGGTTCAGACATGGACTTATGGCTGCCTCCAAGCTCCCAAACGCCTATCACTTACATGATAAATAAATCGGTTTTCGTCAGAACAATGTATTCTCAGATTCCGGCTATGCCATAGTAAACACCAAGCCAAACGTACTTTTTGGTGATGATCGCTCGTAGAGGACGCCTGATGACTCTTCTAGAGTTACAACCGGCTCTCTTCTCGTAGATGATTGTAGGTAGTGGTTCTTTAGAGCAGTCTGGCAGATGGTTTACGTCGACTGAGCCTCAGTATTGCCCAGTCATCATGATCGGACGTCACCCTGGGTCGTCCAGAACGTGGGCGATCCTTCACCTGACTGGTTTCCCTGTATGTTCTGACCACACGACTGACCACTGTGTAAGGGACATTGATTTTCCGACCAGTTGCTTAAAAGGAAATACCGGGATTGTGCATACCTATATTGTCATCTCCATCTGATAATCTTCTGCGTACTATAGTCGCAGGATCATGTTTGAAGATTGTAACCCAGGCAGATTAAGCACTGACATGTGGAACGTGCACGAACTGCACGTGTGAAAACCTCGTGGTTTTGCTTCTGGAAATGCTGCACAGGGTTTGTTTGGGAGACACTTTCCACCACTTGCAATAATTTCTTAAATGAATATTATTATCGTCATACACAACAACATATTTGGGGGTTCTCCACTTTTCCCAGGGTGAATTAGTCCGAAACTTAACTACCTCATAGTTAAATAAATAGTGTTCTCGTTTTTCACCGCCGTTTCCTTTGGTTCATACATGACTGAATGAGCATTCATCCCCAGTGTCTATTTATGTAGCCATAACATTTTTCACAATACTTATTGTCATTACTTATTTGGCAAGGTTCATTTGAAGGAATGTTTTTGACATAATAGACATAAACTTTAACTTTACCATTAGTAGCGCTTTGTATCTGATGTCTTGAATCAGCGACACCTGCTGTTCATGAAGCAAGCAGCACATCACACATACATTCTAGCAGGAATAGTGTGAGTTATATACGGTAGCTTCAGACATTGAGATACTCAGTCACTACTTTTAGAAGCTAGTCCCAAAATGTGGTGTAACATGTGTAACGTATGGAATATGTTGAATAACACTTTTGCGGTAAAGTAATATTCTAGTACATTTCCCAAAGCGATGGCGACGCTTATCTCCTGCAGTGATCATACGCTTGTCTCAAAGATTAAGTGGTACGTGTTTAAGTACCAACTCTAGCACGGTGAAACTGCGAATGGCTCATTAAATCAGTAATGGTTCTTTAGACGATTCACTACTACTTGGGTCACTGTGGTTAGTCTAGGGCTAATACAACTGGGTGGTTGAAAACAAGACTAATGGATCAGATCAAATGGGAAAACCTTTTGATTTCATACTACAGTGTATTTCATATCACCTTAAGGATGCAATATATCAAATGGATCGAAATCTTGGTAAATGCAGAAACTGCTGTTTTGAAAGTTCTCTCTTTAGTGAAATTGGGTGAGCCTAAATTTGTAGTGTTCCACAGTAATCCATTTTGTATATTTATATCCGCACACGCCTGAGATTACGCCGAGTCTTCAACGAAACAAATTTAGATACTAAAGTAAATGTTTGTTGTCCATGGCATAACCTCCGCCATCATAGGCAGCATAAGGACAAACCATAACCAAGGAAGAGATGGATCATATGAATCCATTCACCTTATGATTTTGGAACAAGAAACGTCGCGTTAATTCACATTACGTCTCTATACGAATATAAAACTGCGACTTTCTTGCTGCTGTAAAGATGGGATGAAATAGATTCTTTTTATGATACGGTGGGGACATGTTTTGGACCAAAACATTTCTTATCAAGTTTAGTCTCGGCGCTTCAGGCAGAATGAACAGGGCTCACCTTTTCGCAAACACTTTTTAAAGTGGCTGTTTGAGAGTGATTTATAAATACGTGTTCATGATATAGTCAAAGTTTTACAATCGACTGCTTTTAGCAAAGTTTTTTTTTTTATGGATGCTGACAAGGATTTTTGCTTATGTTTACAAATCAGTCCTCCTCCATATGTACTGATGACTGAAATATTTACCGTTACACAATATTACACGTATAACAGTACAGCCCCTTGATCCTTAGGGGCGGTTGGGTAACCTAGTGGTTAAAGCGTTCGCACGTCACGCCGAAGACCCGGGTTTGATGCTCCACACGGGTATAATGCGTTAGGTCCATTTCTAGTGTCCCCGCCATGATACTGCTGCAATATTGCTTAAGTTTGGGTAAAACTATATTCACACACCCATTAACCCTTGATACTCAACTTAGTATGTTGTGCACCAAATGTAAGAACAATGACAGACATGATGACCCTTCCACAAGTGTATATGTTGGCTGGGAAACGTGAGAAGGTTGAGGGTTTGGGGTCAAGGGATTTGGGATCATCTCTGCGCCCGGGCCTTCGTCGCCATGACAGCAGTGGCACTAGGGTTAGGTCCCATACTGCCTACATTTCCAAACTGCCTACATCCCAAAACTGCCAACAAAAACATTGCCCTGTAGAATAATGGAACAGCCCGAGTATCAATGAAGAAGGGGTGCTTCGTTTGGAGTAAGGGATAACTAGGGGGGATTATAGTAGTATATATCTGTGCATCTACTTCTGTGTGTAGTATGTTTTGAGTCTTCTCATCCAATAAAGACTACAAGACAAGTACAATGATATTGTTTTATTTTGTTTGGGTAGCAGTTAGCATGCTTATATTGTAACCTACAAAGCAGGATTAATCCTATTTGATCAAGTTGGGTAGGCTTGTTTTACCTATGTTGTTACAGGCTTTGTCTGTCTTTGTCAGATTATGTTGAAAACATGGTAAGGACTATATTGTTGAGAAGATCTTATCTTCTCTGTTAATTAAACTCCTAATAAATTAGAAGGGGAACCAACTGTATCCATCAAACAATGGCAAATGTTCAACGCGTTCAATTCATCACTTCTCAAGCAGGAGGACAGCAAGTTTTTTGCTGGGTACCGATATCGCCTCAACGTCCGACGACAGACCACAACACATTGGAAGTGTGTACATTCTGAATGCAAAGGCCGCTGTTCTACAACTGGAGACTTCATGAAATCAACAACACCGCACAACCATGTCCCAGTGGAATCTGAAGATGAGATTCGACTCCTGACACAACGTCATTGACAAGCTCGCCGAATGTGGTGCCGAAATCATGTCCGCAGACCCTTGTTTTGGTGGAGAAATGTTGTTTTTACAGATGAGTCCAGGTTTAACATTTCCCATAGTGATGGACGTCAACGTGACTATAAACGCGTAGGAGAACGTTATGCACAGGCCTGTGTCTTGGAAAGGAATGGCTTTGGTGGTGGTTCCGTGATGA